ATTCATTGGTTTCCTTTTCATCAAATCAGATCTCTCTCTCTCTCCGCAGCAACGACGCTTTGACAACCACGGCCTTCACCTGCGATGGAATTCTCAAGCTGCTTGACTCGCAACTCATCCCTTCGGCCTTCACCAGCAACTCCAAGGTCTTCTAGCTCAAGATGAAGGGCGATTACGATCGCTCTCTTGCTAAGTTCAAGATCGGCGCCGAGTGCAATGACTAGTCAACCTTATTTGATCTCATTCTGGTACGTCAAAACCCTATCTGAACCCTAATAACGATTTGCTTCTTGGTCGTGATTGTTGTGTTTTAGTATAGGGTTTCGAAAATTGGGGCTTGGATTAGGTTAGGTTTTCTGCATGTGGCGACTGGTGGCAGGCGACCAGCAGCGGTGACGGTGGCGGTTGGCTGGATGTGGACATGTGGCATAGGATGCTTGCCTTTGAAGGAGTGGCATTGTGTGTAATTTATATATTTTTTAATGATATTTTTGTAAAATTAGGTACTACATTTTAGTATTTGGCCTTATGCTAATTAGATGAAATTGTATTCCTATCTTCCAAATTAATAAACTATATTGTGTTTTAAAACTAAAGCTCCCTAAATTCTTTAGACTAATTATTTAAAAAAAATTAAAACAAAAAAACCCCAGTAACGCCGGGCGGCTATACTATTTTAAAAATTAAAAAAAAATCCAGTATAGCCAGGCGGCTATACTGTTTATCAAAAACAAAAAAAGCAGCACAGCGATTAAGCGCCCACGTGCGGCTATACTATTTTTATGAAACATTAATAAAACCGAGTATAGCCGCTCGGCTATACTATTTAAAAAAAGAGGGGTATATAACAGTAAATGATTAGCCCAGGCGCCACATGAGATTTTTCTATTTCTTGTCCCAAAAAACCGCCCGCCTATACTTTTTTTTTATAAAAAAAATCAGGAACAAACGAGTAGAGACGCGTTGCTATACTATTTTTTTAAAACGAGTATAGCCGAGCGGCCATACTTTGGGAATGAAATGCTACAATAAATGATTAGCACATCTGCTTTGCTGTGGGAATTCGAGACCTCTTAAGGACCCCGTTGGCTAATTCTATTATCACTTCTAGAATTAGGTTAGGTTCATATTCACCATGCTTTTGATTGTAAAGCAGGTCCTTTTTTCTTCATATTTGGTTTTAATCTTTGACTGATTTTGTTTGATTTTCTTTTTTCTTTTCTTTTAGAAATGTGGATTTGATATGAAATACTGGAAACTAGAGAACCTTGTTAAATTAGCAAAGTATATAGTCGGGTGTGCTCAGAAATTGGAGAAAGTTGAGATAATTTGTTCACCTCAAAACTTGGAGGAATTTAAGAGGAAGTTAGAGAAAGCCAAGGTGATTTCCAATACTACAATTGCCTTTGTGGAAAGACCAAAAACGTAAACAAAGGTAGCTCTATTCATATTTTGCAGAAGTTGCACATGTTTTAGTATCGAAACCTTTGTGTGAATGTTGATTGATCCATTGGGACAACTTCTTTAAGCATTATTGGTTTGAAGAACGAAGGAGCTCTTTGATTTTTTTTCCCTGCATTTGCAACATGAATTTTACTCGGGCTTGCTTCTGGCTTATCTCAATTCAAACTGTAAGCCGCCAAGTTTCTTGGACTTGGTCCTCTGATGTTGTATCCATATATTTGATGGGCTTTGAAGGTTTTGTTGGATGAAAGCAGCACAGCGCAGCGCAGCACAGCACAGCAATGGGGGTCATTTTCTTTAGCCATCAAGGAGCCACGTGCGGCAAGCATAATATAAAACCAAAGGGGTCCCAAAAAAGAAGAGCCTTGAACGAAAACTTTGGTTACGTTTTTGTAGTCAACTTTGTCGAGAGAGAGAGAGAGAGAGAGAGAGAGAGAGAGAGAGAGAATGGCATGGCACCACAAAACAAAGTGGCTGCAGTGCAGAAGTGCAGGGTCCCCAAAAACCCTTGGTTTTGACACAAGACATTTTGTCCTCTTACTTTGGTTTTGGGCCCAACTCCAAGGTGTTGCGTGACCAATGTTGTTGGGGCCTTCCTTTACTGGGTGGTTGTTGGACTTTGACAACTCGAAAGTGCTTCCCTTCCCTTTTTGTCGTTTTTTGCTACCCTCATTTTTGTCGTTTTGACAAATCCCACTTCTATGTTCTTTTTCTCTTGTCAGGAATATATATGAATCAAAATTCACTTAGAGGTGCAAATTGAAATTGGGTTTTCAGCAAATTTACCAGGTGAAAACGTTGTTTTTGACAAGATGTGATGTGATGCTGGTGGGAGCAAAAACAGAGAGAGAGAGAGAGAGAGAGAGAGATAGGCCTATGAAATGAACCAAGAAAAATAAATAAATTCAAGGTGCCTTGTGATGGTAGACACGCGAGACTCAAAATCTCGTGCTAAATAGTATGGAGGTTCTAGTAATGCATTCAAGGCACAATATTGAAACAAAAAGAATGGGATTAACTTTCAAGTGTGGAAGTAGTTGATTTTCAAACTGGTTCCTCTAAAAAATACAAACAGAAGTTAGAAAAAGTTGATAAAATCAGCGATGTGAAATGCTGAGCCGGAATCCAAATGTTGATGTAACTTGTTGGCTTAAGTAGACGTGAAGGTCTCTGCTGAGAGAAGCTGAGAAGGATGCAGAATATGAGAAAAATAATGCAGAAGAATATGAGGGGCACGACATATCACTTGGCAGCAAGTGCCACTAATTTGGCACATTCATCTCTATGTCAGAATCAGGTACCCATCTAGAGAACGACACATTGCATGCCAAGGTGGAACAGGTGTTACGATTTAAATGGGAAAGCGAATTTGAAGCCAGTGTATCTTGAGCCTCCTAAAGGTCACGTTTCTGGACCATTGAGAGTTAAGACAAATCATATACTTTAACGAAGTCTATCACCACCGTGGCGGTATCTCAAGCTTATTACTCATAATTCAACCAATTAAAAGTTTAAAACACAGCTATCAAACCGGGAAACGTATAATTCAAGATTAAAGTACTATAACAACACCAAATGTGAAGAAGAAAAAAATGAAGCTAAAACAAACCTAGCTTTCAGCAGATTGAGGATGCTTTTATTATGGCAAAAGCATTGCTAGGAGCCTAGGGTAATTATATCTCACTGTTCAATCTCCAATAACATAGCTAGCTAGAGAAATAAATAAAAAATAATAATAACAATAATAAAAGTAAATTGTGAAGAAAAGAGGAGAAAAAGAGAAAAAGAAGGCACATGGAAGCATGTGAGGATATGGTCTATGTGTTTGAAATGAAGAAATAAATGATAAGCAAACACTCAAAATGTGATTCGTTGAACAGACAGGGGCATGCAAGCCTACAAAGACACAAAATATATGTGGTCCTTGATTCGACCAATTTGGCTCCCAAAAACCCTTTTGAAAACTAAACTTGACAATGATGCCATGCCACTCAGGCCTCTGCCCTACGTGTCTCCGCTCGCGAGCCGCCAAGTGGCCGATTGCGGTGGCCAAAATTGCTTGCTAATGCTACTGCTCATTTGCTAAGCTCTCAAAGAGGAAAAATAAAAGCCCTAGAGTGACATTTTTTGTGGTAGGGCATGCCCTTCAAAACCTTTGTCTTAGACCATAATGTTTTTATTCTCAGAATAATAAGTTAAACATTGTGGGCTTTGTGGGGCAATATTTTTGAATGATTTTAGCTACAGGGCATATCCCGTTGCTTAAAATAGCATGTGAAGGATGTTTTAGGCGCACATGCAAATCCATTTGGATTTGGGGTTTGGCCTCTTTGAAGGGTTAGTGTACTTCAAATTGTCGGGTCCCCCTAAGGCACATGATCTCTTGTGCGGCTGTTTCTTGTAAAAATCAAGTTGCCTCTCATCAACTCCCAAAGGCTTCATTTTCTTTTGGGAGTGGGGCTAATTTTTCCCGACCACCTCCTCCTTCTCCGCGATTTCGTATCTTAGAAATCTCCAAAAACTGCCAGAGAGTCCCCCCCCCCTCCCTCTCTCTCAAAGTTCATTTTCAATTCTGCACGTCTGCCCTTATATTTTCTTATTATTGACTGACTATAGTGAGGATGGTACTACTAATGCATGGAACCTAGATGCATTCTCGGAGCTTTTATTCTGTACCGCTAGTTGTATACAATTATCTCTCGTGTTACACAATAATTTATGTACCAAAAAATATAACACATATGATTGTAGACAATAGTTACTCGGATTATAGAAATCCATGTTAGAAATTTATTTATTTTCAGCTCTCAATTAATAGATTTATAAGAACTTCTACTTTCCGTGTGTGGGGTGACACTATTGGAGGGGGAGGATTTGTGGTTAATGAGATAAACAGCTGGTCCAATTTTTGTATGGCAATCAGGGACAGTAACATTGCAAAAAGGAGAGAGATTTGCAAGAGATAAGCATGCAAGCAAGGTCTCTAATCCCCTCTATCATCTTTCTAGTGGGCCTTTTGACCACAACAGTTAGAGAGTAATTGATTGTACTTTAGCTCTAATATCAGAATGTGGAGTACATTGTCAGAATCATTCTAAAGTCAGGAGTGGGGTGACCCAATTTGAGTTACTAATTTGGTTAGTTAATGGCTGATGATTTCGGGACTGTAAAATCACCCTTAAATTATCTCATACGCTCCTCACATGTGAGTAAAAAGACTGTGAGAGGTCAAACTTGGAACGTGAAAATCATGCTTTAGTTAATTCTTTTTTGCCAGACATTCCCTAGTTAATTGAGAACATGAAATCTATGATTTATGCTCAAATTTTGATAGTGGGTTGAATGGCATATTGTTATTATTTTCCTCCAGAGTATAGAATTGAAACGTCTTTATCACCACTTACGTGACTAATCACTTTGCCTTTATGACTTTTGTTTTTGCATTAGAAAAGAAACCTTTTGGATTTGGTTTAGGTGAGACTTAAACGCAGTACTTACCACACACCTACACATCCCCCTCTTTTAATGTGTTTATGTAGTCTATGAAAATAAATGGTTGGATATGTTGTTGTTATTTTTTAATACAAACGATAATCTAAATTACAATGAGGAGGGAGAGCAGCCATGGCTCTCACCTGCATCTCCAGAGCCGATATGTAATCGCTCGTTTCTTCTAGAAGGTTCGGCAACGACGCCTTCCGGCAACCGGGAACTAACCGGCTCAGAACTCGAACTTTTCTCTCCACAACCGGTAACTTCCTCCCCTCTCTCCTAACCTCCGCTTTTTTCAACCGGTTATTCCCGGTCACCTTCGCCGTTCTACGTTTGTGAAGCTTCTGGTTCAATCTGAGTCGAGTTCTTAAAATCGCTCTGCTCCACCGAGTCGTGCCCTTGGCCGCCGCGGCCAGAACCCGGTCTGCCGCCTCCTTCACTTCCCTGCTGCCTTCGGAGACCTTCGCCTCCGGCGACGATCTCTGGCGAGCCTGACGGAGCGCCTCTACGAGCTTCGTGGAGTAGATCCGTAGCTCCGTCTCTGATCTCCATCGGGCTCCGGTTTTCGTAGTCGGATTCCGATCCGATTCGACGGCTCCGATTTTCCTCCGCTTTTTGCGAGACGACTCTATCAACGACGCGTCGAGGCTTCCGTCGACGTTTGAGATCAGCGACGCCTCCATAGAAGGTGATCGGAATATGCAGATAGTCAAATTCAACAATAGTCACCGATAAATATATCGACAAACCTGTAAAAATAACCACAAAAGACGATTGTTATTACGATGAAATCAAGAACATGAGCGAAAAATATAAATATAGGTTAGGAGAATTGTATCAATACCTGATCGAAGAGAGTGAGCAATTGCAGAGAAGATGGCTATGGTGGTGGTGATTTATATCAGTTTGTTGTTCGTTTGTTTGGATGGGAGGTATTTAGAGAGAGATAGGGGAGAGGAGAGAGAGAGGGGGGTTGAAGGAGGGAATGGGGGGAGAGTGAGTATAAAAGCAGTTCACGGGAACCACGCGTCGTTTCCTTAATCACATTTATTGCCTCTCTTCCCCTCTCCTTTTTCCCTCCAGCTTTCTATCCTTCTCTTTATTCTCTCCGTTTTTTTTTTAATGAATCAATCAAAATATTATTTATTTTTTTATATCAAGAATATTTCATTTTTCTTTTGATTGGCCAAGCTTTTTTTTCTTTTTTTGGTTTTCTAATTTCATACGTGACACCATGACTTACCTTCCATATTAGTCTGTATAACAAAGTTTTATTATTTAGGACTCGTTTGGGAGTAATTCTGGATATGCCTGAACCACCTTCTATGTGCCTCTCTATATAAACACTTTAAGTGATTTTAAGTGATTCTTGGCAGAAGCACTTCCTATGTGCTTCTCTATAAAATCACTTAAAACCATTTAAAGTGATTATTTTGATAAGTGATTCTCCATATAAGTATTTTTTGCTTATCCAAAATCACTCCCAAACGAGCCCTTAATAAGTATTGTGATTAATAAATTCCACTCACCCTATTCATTTCATACAAGTCTTTGTATCAGATTGGTACCTTCTGTTTTTTTTAAATGCTCCTACATATTGATAACATCTCAATATTTTGTCGATATTTTTTTTCATTATATCAATAACAAATACCTCACATAATTTTGATATGACATAAATAAAAGTATTAATATATTGCCGATTTACTATAGTAAAAATTTATTTCAGAAGAATGCTATAATAATCCTATTTATTTTTCCTTTGTTTTGGATGTTAGAGGTTTTTAGCTCCTACTCCTACTAAAAATTAGAGTGTTATCCTCAAAGCTTTAGATAAAGGTTGATTTTTACAAATTGAAATAGTTAAATTTTGATGTTTTTATAATTTTGAAATATAGTAATTTTTTATCTATATATATAAAGCAAAAGGCAGAGAATGGTGAAACATTCAAAATACCATAAAATAACCTTGGTTAATGCAAACATTAAGAATTGAAATTATTAATTAAATAAGGATAATATGGTAAATTCACACTTTTTCATATTAAACAAATTTAAAACTAAAAGAAAAATCAGATAATGGATCATCTTTTTATGAAACACAATTACCCATTATCTTTTTTAATTCTAAAATAAATTCAAAATTTTTTTATAAAAAGTCTCTCGCATGCGCAGAAGCGCGTGCGGAGAGGCTAGTATCTATCTATCTATATATACTAGCCTCTCCGCATGCGCTTCCGCACATGCGAGAGGCTTTTTTTTTTTAATTAAATTTATTTTAGATTTAAAAAAAGATAATGGGTAGTTGTGTTCCTTAAAAGGAGGATCCATTATCTAATTTTTCTTTTAATTTTAAATTTTTTATATATGAAAAAGTGTGAATTTACCATATTATCCTCATTTATATATATAGATATATAAAGCAAAAGGAAGAGAATGGTGAAACATTCAAAATACCAGAAAATGCCCTTGGTTAATGCAAACATTAAGAATTGAAATTATTAATTAAATGAGGATAATATGATAAATTCACATTTTTTTCATATTTAAAAAAATTAAAATGAAAAGAAAAATCAGATAATGACCTATTTTTATGGAATACAACTACCCATTATCTTTTTCAATTCTAAAATAAATTTTAATTTTTTTAAAGAAAGCCTCTCGCATGCGCGGAAGCGCGTGCGGAGAGGCTAGTATATATAAAGCAAAAGGCAAAGAAAGGTGAAAAATTCAAAATACCAAAAAATGCCCTTGGTTAATTCAAATATTAAGAATTGAAATTATTAATTAAATGAGGATAATATAGTAAATTCACATTTTTTTATATTAAAAAATAAAAATAAAAACAAAATCAGATAATAGGTCCTACTTTTATGGAACATAACTACTCATGTTATCTTTTCTTAATTCTAAAAATAAAATTAAAAATTAAAAAAAAAAACCAATTGACACATGCGTGAGCATGTGCTAAGAATTGAAACATTCAAAATACCAGAAAATGCCCTTGGTTAATGCAAACATTAAGAATTGAAATTATTAATTAAATGAGGATAATATGGTAAATTCACACTTTTTCATATTAAAAAAAATAAAATTAAAAGAAATAATGGATCCTATTTTTATGGAACACAACTACCCATTATCTTTTTTAGTTCTAAAATAAATTTATATTTAAAAAAAAAAAGCCTTTTGTAGACACAGAAACGCATGCAGAGAGACTAGTATATATTAAAAGTTAGATGTCTTTGTGCTTGAGAAAAATAAATATGAGGTCGAAAAACAGTAGACCGCTCGCATTGAACATGGCATATAGTGATTGAGAAAAATAAATAAAGGTAACCTTAATTGATCAGACAATGCTTGTTGGCTCATTTAATTTTGTGTTTTCTATTCAATGCTGGTTTTGTAATTAATTTTGTACTATTAAATGAATGCGACATTTCATTGAGTACTATAATGAAAATAAAATCAACTAACTTTTGGTCTAGTGGTATTTGTCTTCATTTGATAAGATGAGGCCTCATGTTCGACTATAATGGATGACGAGGATGACGTATATTTGTGATAAGTTTGATGACTAGTTGCGGCTAGCCTAAATTGTGGGGCGATGTAGCTTTGTTGTGGGTTTATTGACTTATCCGTTGTGAAAGTACCTTGTAGATTCCTATCGTTTGTAAACTGAAAAAAAAGCAGAAATAAATGAAAGATGAATTAGGTCAACCAAAGCAGCTAAAACCCTGATTAGGTGCAACTAATGATGATTCAAAGAGAATTGGCAAGTGTTTGGTGATATTAATGTTTTGAGTTGTACGCTACCCTGGACGGCAGGTGAAACATTTTCCTCCTTCTTGTCTCTTAACGCAGGATGGAAGCATTTGAAACGTGCCACAATGCATTTTAATACTCGTTTTACCAAATATTTTACATGCCGCTTTGAAAATTTACCGATCGTAGAGTGAAATCTACAATCCAAGTTAAATGAATGCTAAGAAAACTTGCCACCGGAAAGGAAGGAAGAAAACATGGGTCTGTCTGATCCTCTTGATTCTTGTCTTCCAAGGCCGGTATGTTTCTTTTCTTTGTTATAATATTTATTTGCAATCTCCATTTTCATTTTTCTATAAATTTAAACGCACAACATGTGTTGTGTTTTAACTGGTCCGGAAACAATTTTTTTAATCTGGATAAATAATTTTGGTGGGATGATGATGTGGAAATTGGTCATTGGAAAACACCAAATGGGTTGGCCTGCATGGATTGGTTTGAGCAAGGGGACCAATGGATTTCGTATTTTAGCTAAGCAATGATTAGTGGGTGATGCACCAAATAGAAATTAGAGAGAGAGAGAGAGAGGCAGGCACATGTGGTTGTTTTGATGGCATTTTCTTTCTTTCTATCATCTGGGCCTCTATTTTGTTTTTTTCTCATCAGCTGCTTTGGACCGACCTCTCAATGTGGGGATGTGGCCCGGTTTGATCCACATTGCCCTTCTCATTTTACCTTCAATATTATATTAATCTTCAAGAGAGAGATATTAATCCCCTCTGGCTTCTGGTTATTTCCCACTTAAACTTGTCAACTAGGCCACTAATTTAAAGCCAACCTCTGGTGTGATTGATTAGATTAACTTAAACCCATTAATAATTAAATGAGTAATTAAAACAGAGGGCCCAGATTTCACCAATTAGAAGATAAACAATTGAAAGAATCAGATCTCCACTAATTACATGCCAGAGAGATTGTCTCCTAGTGTGAGACAGATTTCAATACCACAGAGTAGGATTTAATATATATATGATTCAGTGCACAACATCTGTACCAAAGAACAATAACTACAGTACTATACACACTTAATATATAATTGTAACCGGGGTACTGTGTTCGAATTCCTCCTCTCTCTCTTTCGATATTGTTTGTATAAAAACTTGATCATTGATTAATGAGGAATTAGAGTTTGCTGATTGACTATATAATTCAATGCATCCTCCTTAATATTCCTACTTATCCCTTCTCTTTGGTGTTCCCCCGCTAAATAAAATACTAGTTGAAATAGTTATCCCTGCATAAGACAAAGGAAGCTTGCTCCCTAACATGGGTTTTCTTGAATTTATTATAAAATGTTTGTCATTTAGTTTCTTTGATTATTATTATTATTTCGCATTGATCAATAATTATTTAGGATGTTTGAACTTGACAAGCAAACTATTATATCTCTTGGTTGGTTTGGTTTCTTCTGTCACGGAGGATGTTTTCAAAAATTGTTAGGTTTTATTGACTCTGATGCAATGTAGCAGCAATTCCAATCTGAACCGAAACAGATGGTCAACCCTCCATTTGGGTTCATTGAAAGAAATTACATTGGCCTTGGCAAATTATGAAACTTGAAGACTGAATGAAACTGTTTGATTTTTCTAATAAATTAGGTTTTTTTTTTTTTTTTTGTGTGTGTGGAGAGAATAGCGATAGGATTTTATTGATAGGAAATGTAACTAGTAAAAAAACCGAGCAATGTCGTCAGAATTAGGCGAGTTTCTAATAAATTAGTTAATTTCAGCTCCACAATTACAAGTTTGGTCCATGCACATTAACCACTAATTTTGGATGAGGAACAAGTGGGTTGCACTAATTATGACAACAATGTTGGGAAAAGCAGATAAACATGGAATTTGTTGGCAGAAGCACGTTTTACGCTGTCATTTCTTAATATTATAATGTTTATATAGAGGTTAGTTAATTAATTAATTAAACAAACACATGGTCCATTCCATTCAGATGATTTGATTAGGTCTTCAGAGCTTGTCAAAGATTGATTTTTTCTTAATTAATATTTTATTTGTTTGTTTATTTTTCTAGGTGCGCACTATGCAGGGGCCCTAATCTATCTGCTCCTCATCAGCTTAATCTAAGTGTGATTACACTTTCATCATTTGATCAAATGGAGACAGCTGCGCACGAGTGCGTGTGTCTTGGTGAGCAATCCATCCCTTGCTTGTCCCAAGAACCATAATCATGGTGTTTAATGTTAAACTAATGATAACAATTAACAACAAACCAAATGCTAAGGAGAATCGCGTCTCCACCGTTGATTTGTTAGCGTTCAGATACATCAATGGCTGACAGCCGGCCCACATGCACAT